AGGGTGTTTGGCTTGGACTGGAAGGTAGTGAGTAGGTTGGGAGGAGGTTGGGAGTGGGTTGGGAGGAGGTTGGGAGTGGGTTGGGAGAGGTTGGGAGTGGGTTGGGAGGAGGTTGGGAGTGGGTTGGGAGGAGGTTGGGAGTGGGTTGGGAGGAGGTTGGGAGTGGGTTGGGAGGAGGTTGGGAGGAGGTTGGGAGTGGGTTGGGAGGAGGTTGGGGAGTGGGTTGGGAGGAGGTTGGGAGTGGGTTGGGAGGAGGTTGGGAGTGGGTTGGGAGGAGGTTGGGAGTGGGTTGGGAGGAGGTTGGGAGTGGGTTGGGAGGAGTGGGTTGGGAGGAGGTTGGGAGTGGGTTGGGAGGAGGTTGGGAGTGGGTTGGGAGGAGGTTGGGAGTGGGTTGGGAGGAGGTTGGGAGTGGGTTGGGAGGAGGTTGGGAGTGGGTTGGGAGGAGGTTGGGGGAGGAGGTTGGGAGTGGGTTGGGAGGAGGTTGAGAGGTTGGGAGTGGGTTGGGAGGTTGGGAGTGGGTTGGGAGGAGGTTGGGAGTGGGTTGGGGGTTGGGAGGGGAGGAGAGGGTTGGGAGAGGGTTGGAGTGGGAGTGTTGGGAGAGGGGGAGAGGGTTGGGAAGGGTTGGGAGAGGGTTGGCACCCAACACCATGCTTACGAAGACGACCCAGAGGAAACTGTGACCAAACACCACACTTACGAAGACGACCTAGCAAATATGCATACCCCCACACCCTTTCTTATATAGTGAGAACACCTACTTTGAAGACACCAGAAAAATGCCTGGAAAAATAGGGGGCCCTAAAAAAGTAGCCTAAAAATAGAAGGGTCCTTATAAGGACCCCTAAAGAAGGTACCCCTAATTTTTGGGAAACTCCCAGATGTGCTTGAATAAGGTCTCGGGTTCAATCCCGGGTGTCGCGGCCCAAGAAGGCTTCCAGCTTCAAGGCCGTCAGCTAGGGTTTAGGGTTTAAGGTTTAGGGGTTTAGGGGTGGGGAGTTTAGGGGCTCAGGGGTTTAGGGTTTAGGGGTATAGGGGTTTAGGGATTAGGGCGGAGGACTACTACTCGACGTATGGAAGGGAAGAGGCGTGTGCTCTTTAGGGCACTTTACCCTGAAACCGCACTTTTCGCCTCCCAGCCCTCTGTAGCCTACAGAAACATAGCTTAACCCCACCATGAACCCCAGTCTTCGAAAAAGGCGAAAAGCTGTGCAATTACGAGTTTTGTGCAGCCAAGGCACGGAAATCCACACCTGATATGGGTAGTGGATTCTCAAACTAGGGGGGGTACGAGTCTACCGTAAGAGTGCGCATGAATCGCGATGCACCTGCTGACAGTGTTGGAGAGTAGTCTGAATCTCACATGGGTTAACGGCAAGAAAACCGTCATGGTCGCAGAGACTCCGATAGGCTTTCGGCTTTCCTGATGCCTAGGATTACACTCGAAACGTTGGTGTGTGTGTGTGTGTGTGTGTGAACATCTCCGTCTTCATGTTTACAATACAGGGCAAGGTACATTGCTGGCTTCGTACTTGCTCGCATAGCATTCTTGCGACGTGAACCCATTGTTATATGGTAACTTGCGCAGGTTGCGCCGTCGTGGGTGTGGAAACTGTGCTAGCTGCTGATGCCTTTCGCAGTGCCTGACTACGGCGCAAACCTACGGTTTTTGATGATATAAATCCTGCATTACCCGTAAAAAGGAATATACCATAATTCCCATAGTTTAGGGTCCTTAAGGTAATGCAGGATGTATATCATCAACCGTAGGAGCACATTATGCTTGAGGCTTCTGTTTTCCGGGACCCGAGATCTTACAAAATGGTCAAGCCGAGACCCTCTTATCCAGACTCTACACAGCTCATGGGCTTAGTGCCTGAGGGAGAGAGAGAGAGAGAGAGAGAGAGAGAGAGAGAGAGAGAGAGAGAGAGAGAGAGAGGTAGAGAGAGAGAGGAAAGAGAGAGAGAGAGAGAGAGAAAGAGTGAGAGTGAGAGTGAGAGTGAGAGTGAGAGTGAGAGTGAGAGTGAGGGAGAGGGAGAGGGAGAGCCCCTCAGCCCAAACCGCCCCTGGGGTTTACTGCAGGGCTAGCCTACGCCCCAAAATCCTCCTGCCGGGGCACGCAGCAGCCGACAAGGAAGCGGAGTGCCACCTCGAAAGCAGAGACGGCTTCAAATCGAAGGTGCTCAGGTGTAGAGTTTCTTGGACTTGTTGAAATAGAGTGGGGGATTCAGAGCACCGGTCTATCAGAGTGCCAGGTAGGTCGTGCTTCGGCTTGTACCAGCAGCAGAAGCGGCAAAAGTAACCCTAAACCCCGAACCCTAAACCCTAAACCATCACAAAAAAGCCGCTGCTTGCATTGAGCTGCCATGTAGATGAAGCCGACCAGGAAGGAGGCGAGAAGCGTCTGGCAAAGTGATGCACTTGAGCATCCCCACATCCCTGCAAAACAAGTTCCTTAATGCAGCCTCTTGCTTCAGCATCTCATGCAACCCATACTGTTGACCCAATCTCTGACATACAACTAGATCTCGGCAAGAAAAAGACAGAAAGGCTTGAGTGCATGCGCACAGTTTGCCGTACAGGCTTGGGATTCTGACCTACCTGCCGGTTCTAGAACACCTCACCCTGACAAGCAAGAACCCTCAACAACATGAGCGTCCACAATTACAAACAGATTTGATTACCCTGTATGTTCGAAACTTCGGATGGCAGCCACCACCGCCATCATCATCAGCAGCATCATCAGCATCATCATCATCAACATCATCATCATCATGGATGCTATAATCACCGTCATCACTATCCGTCACTAGCATCACCACCATCAGCATCATACTCATCTCTTCATCATACCCGTCTTTGTGAAGACTATCCACTTCGCCACTCTGTGGCAGTCAAGGAATCCTAAGGCACGGTAGAGGTCTGCGGCTTACGGGTGTCCTGCCCGGCCCCGTGTCGAGACTGCAAAGCCGACACAAGAATATCAAGTATGGTCTGTATGTAACTGTATGAACGTTTGTATGCATATATATATATATATATGCATACATATACATGTGTATATACACATATGGAGAGAGAGAGAGAGAGAGAGAGAGAGAGAGAGAGAGAGAGAGAGAGAGAGAGAGAGAGAGAGAGAGAGAGAGAGAGAGAGAGAGAGAGAGAGAGAGAGAGAGAGAGAGAGAAAATGGCATGGCATGGCCAATGGGGGAGAGGCCGCTCCCTGACCCCGCCATGGATACCTGGTACTAAGGGAGCTCGTAGTGATCCTGGTTGGGCCTCAACCCGAAGCTTCGAAGCGCGAACCCGAAAGTGTCCGAATCAAAGAGAAGGCGTCCATTCTTGTCATGGCTAAGACGACATCACGAAGTTTTAGTACCTTCATGTTAAGGACTTTTAAGTGCCTTTCCTAGTGTTGCGGCCTTGTAAATAGGGTTCTGCGAAAAATCACCCGGAACCCTCAACCCGACTGCAGCGTAAACCAGTGCTTCCGAGGAGCAATGAGGAAGGCATCGATAGAGGTCTGGCAAGGCATGGCCGGTGCTCGTAAGGCCATTAATGCTGTTCGCCATATGATACTAGGAAGATGAGCATGCTATCAATATTACGAAAAACATGAACAACAACATGAACCGTATGAGTGAAACCAATATTTACAATAATTTTGGTGTGTGTTTCGATCCTTTCAGGGTGAGCTGTTGATGGGCTCTGATCGTATACCCTAGCGCCGGACCTACAATTCAAGATTCGGGGGGCTTTGGTGTCAATTTTCGAGGTCCTGGGTTTAGTAGCTTGGGTTTGGGGTATCGATCAATCCTCAGACAATCCGTGTGCGAGGATCGATTGTGTCTGCGCGCAGAACAAAAAGACATAACTGAGTTGTCCTTTAAGCCCTTTGAAATTGATTTACTAATTATTATGGTTCTTTACAAAATAGTAGGGGAAACTAAAAAAGATATCGAAGGACAACCCAGATAACAAACCAGGAGGATGTACTTTGGCAGCTTTGCTGAGTCCCTCATGTAGACATGCCCTCATGTAGACATGCCAGCAGTTGGTGAAGCACGTTTCGAGAATTGGGAAACTGACACTGAAGGCTTAAGCTTCGGAAACCAAAGGTTCACAAACAAGACCTTCGAACCCTGAAAAAGGCAGTTTAACACATGCCCTCACAACCAGACGTCAAACACAGCACCGGAGCGACCAACACTTTGACCATTGGCGTTTGTGGCATACGGCACTCCTTCCCCTGGTTCCTGACGCGAATCCACGCTTTACGTTTGATAACTTAGTCCCACATAAGTTACAAGACCATGAGCACAGCAAACCTGCTCAAGTGAAGGCAGCCTGCCTGGAAGTCACCGACCCATGTGCCGACAGTGTCTGACAAGCTGGCAGCGACATCTGCAACGCCTCTGCAGGTCAGATGCCCGTGGTGTTAGTGCTAGTGCAGTACTGTAACGGTGAGTGACATGTATTGAAGCATAGGCGATACCAGAAGACGAAAACGCAGACTGCGCGCCTGCAGAAACATCCCCAGATCACTCAACTCAAAGCCCTAAACCCTCTAAACCCTGAAACCCGGAACCCTAAACTCTGAATCCCACCACCCTACACCCTAAATCCTAAACCCCAAACTACCCTACACCCTAAACCCTAAACCTTAAACCTTAAACCCTAAACTACCCTACACCCCGAACCCCAACCTAGAGCTTCCATGGTGTCCGTCATGGCAGAGCCCAGAGCATTCACGACATCCGCGGTCATGGCGAAAGTACAGTACGCAGAGCCCTCGGTGATCTCCTGCAGGCACTGGGAATCGCTTGGAGGCTGACGGGCTTTGATGATGCTTTAAGGCCTCTTGAGGGTGTTGTTTTAAGGTTTTCGTGCTTTTATGCGCTTTTGGGGCTGTCTATGGGTGTTGCGGGCTTTTGGTGCCTGTATGCTTTTGTTTGAGTCTTTCGGAATTAAATATAGGGAACTTTGGTTTCGGGGAGGTTTGCTTGGACCATCTACGATGTTGTTGCCGGGAGACGGGGTTCCCTGCCCACCGGGGTAAAAACGAAGCATCGTCAAAGTCCAAAAAATGGGTTTAGGGTTTAGGGTTTAGAGTTACACAACTTCAGCGTTGAAGGCGGCTTGAGTCCGATTCGGTTATGAAAAACTAGGTTCTTCCTTTCTAGCCCGCCCTGCATGAGCTGTGGAAACGGGGCCCGTCACAAAGAGGGTCTGTAGCCGAAGTCTGCTGGGGTTTAGGGTTTAACAACAACACATTGCAACCGTCGAACTGTACGTCCGAAGTGACTACCGGATAAACCTGCCTGAAGCACCCAGATTGTTACGCCCTCCCTGATACCTACACCGAGCAACGTAAGCAGTAGCACTAGCCCACGAACCCTAAATCCCAAACCCCTCCGATTTCCGGGGTCCGTGAACGCCACGCCCGGCATCGGAACGCAGCGCTTGGCCGAGTAGGGGCACACGGACTGAGCAACTCGAGATTGAAGGTTAAGTGTTTAATGTAGGAACCTGATTAAGAAACCCTAGGCCCGCCCAGATTAATAATAAGAAACCCTAGGCCCGCCCAAAACTGTGGTATTCATATAAGGAGCCCTAACGAAGGCTAAGGTTTCTTAATTCAGGTTCCTACAGGTGTAGGGATAGTTTGGACGATCTTTTCTGGGCTTTCGCCTCGGGGGCTCAGGGTCGGATTGGACTTTTGCTCGCTTGGGATTTTGTAGAATCTAGACAAATAAATATATATATATATATATATATATACATATATATATATATATATATATGTATATGTATATGTATATGTATCTCTCTCTCTCTCTCTCTCTCTTGCTATTCTTGTGTGATTATTGATTCAGTTATGTATTTTTGTACATACTTATTTAGCTGTCTGTTATGCATGTGTTATTTGTTTGTCTATGCACGTAAATATGTTCGTTGATTTGGGAAAATAACTGTATATATACGTATACGTGTGGGTGTATTTGTATTGTAACATAATAAGATAGACAGATAGATAGATAGCAAGTAGCTAGAAAGATAAATAGATGTAGTGCATGTATGTCTGTATGTCTGTTTGTTTGTGATTGTGCTTGCATATGTATGTGTAGCTGTATTTGGATTTGAATTTCCACGTCTATTTGTACTTACATTGCCGGAAAAGGAAAAGTGTAGACCAACACATGCAGGCTATGAGGCTGTCTGCCTTGACTCATGAAATCCGACAGCTCCATGCTCGAAACCTCTGAACCGTCCGAAATCCTGACCCTATACTGAACTTAGACCCCTAGCAAGAAAACCTATAGTTTTAGCTTCGTCTCTGGGATTGTTAGAGGAACCGAAGATTTGAAAAATCTTTCTAAGTACCCCTGAAAACCGGCCCGCTAAACCCTAAACCCTCAACAAAGCACCGTCAAATCTAGATCATGGTTGGGGTAGGATTAAAAATGTACATGTTTTTCCCTACTGGGTTTAAGTAACCAAAAAAATCTAAAATGTTGCCTAACTATGACAAAGACATGATGCCAGACCATCCCCTTCCCACCTTCCCGCACCTACAGGAAAACAGTCAAATCCTAGAACCCCAAAACCCCCTCAAGCCTAAACCCTAAACCCCAAAAGAACCCCAAAAAGGACTGAGACCAGGACGGTAGGGAGCGCTTGGAACTTGAAATCGTTGCTGATGACACTCCTCGGCTGCGAAATCCTACAGCCTGGAGTTTAGGGCTCAGGGGCTGAGGGTTGAGGCTTACTTAGAGGATCATGGGACTTAGTAAGTAGGTTATAATTGGGGTTATAAGTCCCCTAAGTGGGGTTATCCTAATTATAACCTCCTTATGACCTTACTAAGTCCCATGAGCCTTCAAGTAGGGTTCAGGTAAACCGGAGTTGGGGGGGCTGAGATTTCTCTCCAGAGCTGGAGCATCCTCGCTGTTCGGGGCGCAGGGCGCACTACCGTCTTCTTTTAAGTGAACCTACTTGGAGGGTCAGGCGACTTAGTAAGTAAGGTTATATGTACCCTAATCAGGGTTATAAGTATAGTTACCTTATTTATAACCCTAGTTACTAAGTCCCATGATCCTTTAAGTAAGAGTCCAAGTAGTCTTTTTTTTGGTGCCCAAAGAAACCCCAAAGTCCCACGGTAAGGAGTACTTGGACCCTTGAGGGTCTCTTTTCCGGGCTCCTCTTTGAGGGTTCCTTTAAAGGGTTCCTTGAAATGGATCCTTTAGCCCAAAGGCTCCATGTATCCAAAAAGTATATACTTAGGCCTTAAAGTACCTATACAGGGACGTCTTTAAGGCTTACAGGGAGCCTTTGGGTAAGGGAATCGAAGAAAGGCTCAGGGTTCGGGGACGGTCTGCTCCCAGAGCCCCCAAAAAGTATGATATCTTTAGGCCGTCAACCACGTCCCAACGGGATTTCGGCTTCAGAGTTTAGGGTTTAGGGTTCAGGGTTTAGGTTTCAGGGTTTGGGGTTTAGGGTTCAAGGTTTGGGGTTGAGCGTTCAGGCCGTCAACCACGTCCCAACACACTCAAACCGATGCTGAAACTTTAGTAACGACCAGACACAGGCCAGACAGTTGTCTGAGTGGCAATGATAAACACACATATGTGTGTATATATATATATATGTATGTATGGATACACATACACATACAGAAACAACCCCAACTCAAAATCCCTGTATCACAGCAAAGACCTGTACTATAGGGGCCTGAATAATTACCTATACTATTTTGGTGTTCCTTATTATAAATATAGTATAGTGGGCCCCAAAACCCTGTTCTAAGTATTACGGCCCCTATCGTAATTGCAGCTGGGTCGCTGGATTGCAGTGATCTCAGCCCTCAGGAGGCATTGACTCTACTTGTACCATAGGGACGCTTAGGGGGTAGGGGGGAGGGGGGTAGGGGACTATACTTCCTTAAACAAACCTTATTAAGTCCTTATTATCGGTATAATGCCCCCTACCCCCTCGCACCTGATTACCCCCCCCAAAGCATCCTTAGGCAGGCCTTCTGGGCTCGCGGAAGGACACGAATCGCACGACTGATGCATCGGAATGAACTGCAACACTGAACCAGGTTTCTGGGGCGATCTACAACAAGTGGAGACGGATCGACACAGGGCTAAGCATGCTGATGGTTATCTGCCATTCCCAGGCCGCTTCTAAACCATCACAGCCGCAAACAGTAAACCCTATACACCTCAAACACTAAACCCTAAACCCCTAAGCCCCACACCCTAAAGAAACCCCAAACCCCTAAACCGTAAACCCTAAACCCCTAAAATGCCGAACCTGAAAAAAACCCAAAATGCAAGAACCGGCCTGCTGCCGCTGTAGTTCTTTAACGTGTCAAAAGCGTTCTTGAGAGGATTGTCAGGCGTCATGTCGTAGACATACCTCCGGCATCGAGGTTTAGGGATTGGGGTGTTGACTGGGTTCAGGGTTTAGGACTTAGGGTTTAGGAGCTCTGAAGGGTTGAGGGCTTAGGGTTTAGGAGCTCTGAAGGGTTTAGAGCTTAGGGTTTAGGAGCTCTGAAGGGTTTAGAGCTTAGGGTTTAGGAGCTCTGAAGGGTTTAGGGCTTAGGGCTTAGGAGCTCTGAAGGGATTAGGGCTTAGGGTTTAGGAGCTCTGAAGGGTTTAGGAGCTCTGCAGGGTTTAGGAGCTGTGAAGGGTTTAGGGCTTAGGGTTTATTAGCTCTGAAGGGTTTGGGGCTTGGGGGTTTTAGGAGCTCTGAAGGGTTTAGAGTTTAGGATTGAAGTTCCATGATGGAGGGGCCTGGGAGCTCAAGAGTTGGCGTTCAGGTGTCGAAGATTTCTTCAAGCATTGCATGATGCAAGGGTGGCCGGGGGAGCTTTAAACTGACGACTGTAAGGGACTTAGTCACCAAGCCTTCGTGAACTCAATCTGTTTCGGGGGTGCTTGTCTACAATGAAGCATGTAAGGTTGCGTGGGCTCCGTGACTTCAGAAAATGTGCGGCTCTTTTCACAAAACGTGGTGGGCCTCTCCGCTTCGTCGTGGTTTGAGTTTTGGGTTTCTCTGCTTCGAGGATTGCCACTCGCAGGATGCCATCGACCACAGAGAGCTTCAAGACCCCTGAACACTGACTACTTGGAGGGGCAGGGGACTTAGTAAGTCGATTATAAGTAGGTTATAATTGGGGTAACTCCATTTAGGGTACTTATAACTCTACTTACTCTACTTATAACCTTGTTACTAAGTCCCCGGCCCCTGCCCCTCCAAGTAGACCCCAGTTCCCTCCCTTACCGCCCCAACACCTGGACCCTGCTCCCCTCACAATCTCTTGCCACCCAAGAGACTCGCGAGCGTCAGCGCTGCCGTTCCTAAGCCAAACACAAAGGGGGAAATGGGGGCTATGTTTAGGGTTAAGGATTTAACCCTAAACCCTAAACTCTATTGAGTGGGGTTCACAGGGTTTAAGTTTTTGAGTTTAGGTTGAGGATCTCGGGATCACCGTTTGGGCTTAGGGTTTGGGCTTAGCGCTTGGGGGCATGAGACTTAGGTTAGAAGACTACTACGACTGTTCGAAGTGTTTCATGTAAGCTTCTTCACTAGTGAACTAGTGGTTCACATTTCATGGATGTATCGAGAACCCCAAACTCTTCTACGATCGAGTCACACAGAAGCTGCTGCTAGCACTACAGCTGCTACCATCATCACCCACACATGTCTCAAAATCCAGAAAATCTGAGCCCTGAAGCCCCCAAAAACCTTCAATCCCGAACCCTTTAAACTCTAATCCGTCCATCACAACAGTGCTACAAGGGTTTCGGGTTGTGCCAACAGTAGCTCTACGGGAGCCGCCTAAACTCAAACAGGGCTGATCCGAAGCACTCGTTGGCATTCCTGCCAAGGCTCACCAAGCTGAAATCGGCAGCACAACCGGTGAGGCAAACCTGACCAGGCGTTACTCAGTCGTTTCAAAAAAAAACCAGGACCTGAGGAGAGAGCTAAGGGCTTAGCGCTTGGGGTTTCGGGTTAAACTCTTTGAGCGTAGCATTGCGGTATGAGGGTGCAGAGTTACTTAGAGGATCATGGGACTTAGTAAGTAGGTTATAATTGGGGCTATAAGTCCCCTAAGTGGGGTTATCCTAATTAAAACCTACTTATAACCTTACTTACTAAGTCCCATGAGCCTTCAAGTAAGGTGTGAGACTGTGGGATCTGAATCTAGTCACTTGGATCCAGCGTGGACCGTTTCAGCCGGAGCTCGCTGGCCCTATCCTCCAAAACACGCACAGGATTTAGTGTTCACGTCGGCATCATCGTTTTGATGCAGTCTGATTGAGTTGGGGATCGCACGTCGACAACCACAGGGACTCGCAACGGAGAATGCCGACAACCTCGTCTTTTAAGCATCTCTGTTGAACTAGGCCCCAACGAAATGCAAGCCCTATTGTAAAACCCAAAAGTGCCCTTCAAGGGAACCCTATTGTAGAACCCCTCGTACCCCCGACGCGGAGTCACCCCAAGCCTACGGCCCCGATCCCCCCATCCCAAAGCCCGGCGCCTCGTTGAAGTAGAGTGAGGCTTCATTGAAGATGTCCTCGAAGGCCTTGCAATTTCAGCCGATGACTTCGGTTTTGGGAGGCCGGGGATTGTGGCGACGTCTCGATGGCTTAGGGTTTCGGGGTTAGGGTTTTAGGTCTCTGGTCCCGGACAAGCCTTTCCAATCTGCTCGCTCCGAGAGGGTTTTGGGCTTCTTGCTCGAGAAATTTAGGGGTTCCAGAATTTCAGGGTTCCTTTGATGGGGAAAGCTAGGGTTTTGGGGTTCCTCTACAGGAGAAACCCAAGAAGCTAGAAGGATCGAAATGTGCCTGGCCGTTGGCACCCGAGGGGGAGAACAGGTTGTCCGCGCTCACCTAGCAGCAACGAGTTATAGGGCTTAGGGTTTAGCTTCTGGGTGTTTAGGGTTAAGGGTTTGGGAGTTTAGAGTTCAAGAGTTTAGAGTTTAGGGGTTGGGGGTTTAGGGTCGAGGGTTTGGGAGTTTAGGGTTTAGGGGTTTAGGGTTTAGGGTTTGGGGGTTTAGGGTTTGGGAGTTTAGGGTACGGGAGTTTAGGGCTTAGGGTTTGGGAGTTTAGGGTTTAGGTTTGGGAGTTTAAGGTTTGGGGCTAGGGTTTAGGGTTCGGGAGTTTAGGGTTTAGGGTTTGGGGTTTCGGCCTTTTCGGGTGCGTAAGGTCTAGAAGGCTTGAACAAGGGGTACACAGACATAGGATTGGGGCATTCATTACAGGGTCCCCTTTACTTGGAGGGGCAGGGGACTTAGTAAGCAGGTTATAAGTAGAGTTATAAGTACCCTAAATGGAGTTACACCAATTATAGCCCTAAGTACAAACGACTTACTAAGTCCCCCGGCCCTCCAAGTAGGGTTCTATAAAAGTGCTGCTGTTTCCTGCTAATCTAGTTCAGGCCGCCGGAGCGATATACAGTACGGTCGAAGCACGTGTGCAGTGGTTCAGTTCCGTTGCAAGATACAGCTTCAAGTAGCTCATGTCCATGAACCCTGCTCTAGCTTCCGACTGACATGCAGCTGTTTTTGCACTACTAGACTGGACAAGAGTGCCGCGGCTGTGTGAAGCCTTTTTGCAACGCAGTGGCAGTAGCAGTAGAAGCAGTAGGAGCAGGAGTAGCCGTAGCAGCATCAGCAGCATCAGCAGCAGCAGCAGTGACACCAGCAGTAGCAGAAGCGGCAGGAGCAGTAGCAGCCCAGCAGGAGTAGTAGTAGCAGCAGCAGCAGGAGTAGTAGTGGTGGTGGTCATGGTGGTGGTGGTGGTGGTGGTGGTGGTGGTGGTGGTGGTGGTGGTGGTGGTGGTGGTGGTGGTGGTGGTGGTGGTGGTGGTGGTGGTGGGGGTGGTGGTGGTGGTGGTGGTGGTGGTGGTGGTGGTGGTGGTGGTGGTGGTGGTGGTGGTGGTGGTGGTGGTGGTGGTGGTGGTGGTGGTGGTGGTGGTGGTGGTGGTGGTGGTGGTGGTGGTGGTGGTGGTGGTGGTGCTGGTGGTGGTGGTGGTGGTGGTGATGGTGCTGGCGACGGCGTCGGCGGTGGTGGTGGCGGCGACGGCGGTGGTGGTGGTGGTGATGGTGTGGTAATACCAGAACTACTCTTGCACGAGGACACCAGGAGCAAGGATGCCATCATTGAATCTAACCTCATGCCACGTGAAAACTACTAACTCTCAACGCTACCAGAAAAATTGGAAAAGCACCACCGAGCACTATGCCATGGCTGCTCTTGCTGATAGGAGTCCGCTTTTCCTACGAATATCACTATATGGCTTGATGCAGCACCTTCCCACGGAGCTCTTCCAGCTTTGCGGTGATCACTGACGAAACATCCGCCTCGGAGGTCGGGGGCTGGTACAGTCACCAGGCAACAGCCGTGCAACATTCGTGTCCGTAATCAGCTTACCCACCATCACGGTACGGGCATCATCGTGATCACCCTCAAAAAATACCACCGTCACCATCAGCGTTATCAGAATCTGCATAATTATCAACATCGCCGTCGTAAGTGTAATCAAACTCATCTGCATCCACTTGGTCTCATCCGTGAGGTCATCACCATCACAGTCATCAGCAGAAGCTTCATCGCCAGCAGCAGCAAAATCATTGTCTTCACATCCACAACACCGTGAGGCTGATAGTCACTTCAACTTGTTTGCAAGGTCGGTCATGCAAGCCAAGCAGCACAATCTTCAACATTCATACCACTGCCGTCACCATCATCATAAGACTAGACCTGCACAGCTGCAGCAGCAGACGCGCACGTAGCTTGGCAAATGCCTGTCTATAAGCGCAGGACTGGCATATTGGGCTCGATGAGGCCTTGACGGCTTAGGGCATATCCTTAGAAGGACCCATAAGTATATACCCTCAATATAGCTATTATATACCCATAATATAGCCCATTTTTAAGCTGAGCTGCGGCCTTTCACTCCACGTGCTCTGATCTCTATGGGCTTTGGGCTTAGGGTTTAGAGTCTAAGGCCAGGGCTTGGGCCCTAAGATTTGGCATGTGGGCCGTTTCCGAGCTTTGTGCAGGCGAGGGCCGACAGTCTTGCAGGGGCTTAGGGTTTAGGGCTTCATGATGCCACGGGGCTTACGTGCTGTTCACTGTGCCGCACTAAAGGTACACTTGTAGGTACAGATAGATTCACAAAGTGCTTATTCAGATACGAGATCTGAATTTATGCATGTATTTCTGCTTGCTGAAAATGGCCTATTAGGATTTACCTTGCAAGCCTACAGGCCTACATCAACCCGAAACCCCTCAACACCAAATGTCAAGACCCCGAGCCCTAAACTCCAAGACCCTAAAACCCTGAAGCCCCAAGCCCTCCAACCCTGATCTTCAAAATCCCTCAGATGCATACCCAAACCCTAAGCCCCAAACCCTAAACCCTAAACCTAAACCCTAAACCCCAAACCCTAAACCCTAAAAGCTAAACCCCAAACCCTAAACCCTAAACCCCCAATTCCATTAGGGCCCCGGCTGGGCTTGAGAGATCTCCGCCCACTTGGAGGCTGCCTGGCAGTCGGAGTTCGGCTCTTGCTTTAAGCATCATCTCTTGGCAGATCCAAGAGAGCCTTTTTAGGCAGGTCAGGGCTTAGGGTTTAGGTTAGTAAGAGTAATGTTCACATTATCATTGCCACTATTGTTCTTGCTACTGTTGCTTTTGGGATTTACAGGGCGCGGAAGGATCCAGCCGCTCACCAAGGACTCAAACAAGATTTGGGGTTGGGTTTAGTGCTCATAGGGCTTAGGGCTTGAGGCTTATAGAGTTTGGCGCTAATGCAACAGGGCTTAGGCTGTTTAGGGTTTAGGGACCCGCTCGTGGAGACCCATGAACAAGTGATAGTACTCCGTCCCTTCTTGAAACCTGCGGATTTGTTGCGCCTTTGCCCTGCCTACGTGTTTTCCAGCAGGTGTGTGGCGTATGTAATGGCTATATGGAGAGTATTTGGGGAACGAGCCGGGCACCTTGGTTCCAATGTATAGATACCAAAATCAGGTGTTCCACGATTTCCATGGGGCTGTACACGAAGTGGTGTCCTTGCTTATGCGCAAGAGGCAGGCACTTGACGTCAGGGGGTGCTTCTACCGTGTCCAAAGGCCCACTCCTAGATGCCGCCGAAAACCGTGAAACCGAACCCTTCTGAACACCAAGGTCACCAGGGTCGTGGCCTTCGCAGGCACCGCATGGGATGAGGCAGCAACCACAGAGGTAGTCCTGTTCAAGGATGTTGCTTTCAACCGAGTTTAAGCTTAGTGAGGCAACAGTACAAACGCTCTTGTGCTCAGCAAAGAACTCTTAGTGCAGTCATGCGGCAAGATGCTGTTTTCAGCTGCAGTACTGGCAGAAAAGCTCTAAAGAAATCCTGCACCCCGGAACTCTAAACCCTGAAATCCGAACCCAGAGTCCCTCACACCCAAAATCCGAAGCCCAAACACTAAACCATCATCCCCAATCTCTAACTTCCCACACCCCGGCGCTAAACCCCTGAACCCTAAACCGTAAAATCCGTAAACCCACAAGCTCAACGCAAAAAAAACGATTCCTCGGCTTCGAAGCCCGTCAACAGAGGCCCTTGGGTAGGAAGGCCTCAGGGAGTCTTCCCGAGTTGGGTTTAGGGTGAAGGGTTTAGGGTTTATGGGGATGTTCAGGGCATAGGGCTTTAGGGGCCTAGGGTTCGAGTTTAGGTGTTGAGGGCTTAGGGTGGAGGGTTTCTGAAGGTTTTAACGTGTAGGGTCTCAGGTTCAATGAAGCTTCGGCATCATCAACAGAACTAGCTGTAGTTTCCTCCGTAGTGTCAGTGTTGCTGTGGAGATTGCTGGTGGTAATGCTGATGCTGATGCGGATGATGATGAGTTCAGCCCTTCTTGCTGAGGCCTCATGGAAGGCCACAAACAAAAGGTTGCTCTCAGATCTCCGTGGCGGTTAAGGTCATGAGGAACGCAAGGTTTGAGCGGTTGTTGGCTTCACGGACTACGGATCATAGCCGAGTGGTCTATGAATCTATGTAGCAAGCCTCAGTGAACTGCTTGCTTACAATGTACGATCTGGCACTTTAAAATCTTTGTGTGTGGACCAGGCTTAGATGAGTGATATGAGTGCATGTGAGATCTCCAATGAAGGATCTAGCTTCAATCCCTGCAACTCCAACATCCAAAACAGCAAGACCCCAAATGCCTAAATCCCAAATCTGAAGAAGAATCCCTAAATCCTACAGTAGAAGCCAGAAAGTTGGAACATGGCTTTAGGAGGATTAGTGCTAGGATCCTATATACTCTACCTTAAGGGCATGAGGATAATGATGTTCCAACTTTCTGGCTTCTACTGTACACCCTGTCCCACCTGAGTAGCCATCGACCATGGCCGTCCTAAAGGCACTTGAGCACATCATCCTCGCAGGCGGGCATAAGTTGAGTCCTCCAAGATCTCGGGCGTTTAATTTGAGGGCCTTAATAATAAGACTATGCTACTACTTATAACAATTTTAATACATATAATAATCATAAAAATAATACCAATAATAGCAATAATAATAAGAGGGTTTTGGGTGGTCTTCATTAGGACTATAGTATAATATACCCGCCAAACCCTATTCGAATTATTGAGGCCCCTATATGATTCGGGTTCAGAGTTTCGGGCCTGGGTTTAAGGTTCAGAGTCTAGGGTTTAGGGTTCACGGTTTAAGTTTGAGGGAGTCCTCAGCCTTTGAATACATTTAAAACCAATCATGGCTTTCAGTGTGTTGGCCCTACTACCTGATTCATGCTTTTGAATATACCGTAGCATACTTCCGCAAAGGAACCCGAATAAATTGCAGTACTAATTGATGCTCCGACCGCTATATTAGGAACACTTCAGAGCTTTTTCCTTGCTAGCCACCCGCTCTCCACGCCCACGGCAAAGCTAGAGAAAACAACCTCCTTGCAATCCCAAGCTCAATCCCAAATGCTGCAAACCTATCTAAGACTGAACAGGCTTTGGGAGGTCTGGTTCAATTTTGGAGAAGCGCAGGAACAGCCGTTCTGGGTTCGGGCGGTCAAGCACTTAGGGTTTAGGTTTCAGGCCGCATCGGAGAACATCACGCCCCACTTATGCAACGAGCGGCATGAAAGAGACCCGCTTCTCGGTCGAAAACATCTCCGACACCCAACAGCAAAGGCCATTACATTGGAGTGTCGTACTAGTAGTGGGACTGTGTCGGAGCTTCTTACACTGCTTCAGGCAACCTCGTTGAACGAAAATACGTTTCCAACTGTCATGCTCCGACGTCGTCGATGTCGGCGCTGTCATTGCTGTTGTTGCTGTTGTTGCTGTTGCTGCTGTTACTGTAGATGGAGAAACCCTGAACCGTCAACCCTAAAACCTGAGCCCCTAAAGCCCAAGTAAGTCTTAAACCCCACAACCCTAAACACTCTAAACCCTAAACCCATGTGGGTGGCTGTCAAATTATGGTCCCTTTTTGGGTGCCCTAAATATTAGGTGGCGTTTACAATAAGGACCCAAAAAGGGAACCTAATTTTGACCACCACCCGTGTGGGGTTGAAAAGCTGAGGCTTCTTTGCCAAGGCTCTGCTTCACGATGGTGTCGGTCACAGAGCTTACGTTCATCGTGAAGCTCTGCTTGGTGTATCCTGTTACACTCCAGTCGTTTTTCTGTTTCTTGTTGGCTCTTTTCCGTTTGTTCCAGTGGCTTCAGGATTTAGGGTTTAGGATTTGGGGTTAGGGTTAGGGTTTAGGATTTCTCGTCTAGGGCTGTGTGAACCTGGCCAACTCCGGGGCCCGGAGGAATACTTTGAATTTGATTACGGCAAATTTGGGAGTTTCCGAAAATAGGGCACCCTTATATAGTACCCGAAATAGTAGGATCCTCATTATAAGGACCCCAAAATAAGGTACCCCTAATTTCGGAAACTCCCATTTGGACTTGGGGCAGTCTAGGCGAACAGTTTGAGCCGAGATGGGAGACCCCGGGCTTTCTTTCCAAAGGTAAAAGGAGGGACTCTTAATAAGGACCCCTAGGTATATAATTACCCTTAATATAGCTACGATATACCCATTATATCGCTTTTATATACCCTTAATATAGCTATTATATACCCTTAATACAGCGATTATATACCCATTATAGAGCCCATTATAGGGTAGGGGTCCCCATTAAAGGTCCCTCTTTTTCCCCTTTGAGTCTTGGATCCACGAAGACACGACAAACTCTGCGTGAAATTAGGAACACCAGCACCAGCAACCGTCATCACACAGGGTCGAACAGGGATGAGGGCAATGTTTCGCGTTGCATTCGGGCTCTGAGTTTCAGGTTTGCAAAGGATTGGAATGTTGGGTAAGCTGAAAGTTCGACATTCTGGGAAAGCTACGTTCCGGTAGTTCGACGCCACGTTCACGCCACGAAACACGAAATCTCCGAACGGGGACCTTGAAACCTATACCGCAAGTTTGGG